CATGAGGGTGTCACTTGGCTATGGAAATTATCCCTGGCTACTACGAAACATCACCCCACTTACTTTCAGCAGAACAAAAATAGAAGAAAATAGAACCAAAAGGTATTGAAGGCTGTTCTGTTATTCCCCACCCACTAGCTCCATGTACCTTGCACTAATGACAGCCCTGTCTGTTAACACTTAAAGTACCCATTCCTTGTTCATTTTCACTCAGTGGACACATGACCTTTATCTGCTTTTCACATCGAACATGGACAAGGGTACCTCCCCATCTCTGTCTAATCCTCAGTCCTCAGAGATGACTACTAACAATGATATTAAAAATAACTAGATGATTGCCATATGGTGGGAACATTTTCAGAAGAAATTCAGCAATCAACATTAGGGCTTCTACAATTAACTCGTGCACAAAAATTAGAACAGTGACAACCAATTCTAATCATTGGTAGTGAGGCTGAATTCCACTTCAATCAAGGAATGTGTGCCTCTCATAACATTTCTACTTTCCAAAATACGACATCAGACAGTAGTTTTGTGTACAACAAATAAGACGACAATCACACAAGGTCAATGATCATTCCATTCATTCTAGGTGATCAACAAACCTTTTCCAGTACATCATGTTTCTTAGAAGGAGAAATTGTCTCCATTATTTCTACCTCTCTAGCCACTTGGTAATATGCAATTGGATATTAATGTTGTCCACTTGATGGGAAAAAAATTTCATTCATGGGCATCCAAAATATATATTCTTCCATTTACTGCATATCTCAAAACCCTATAACAGAATATGCCTCTCAAAATGTCTTGCAACAATCATGATCACATAGAAAGAAAAGAACAGTAATACCAACGGAGAAATAAGACTTGCATCAGTTTACAAGGTGGCAAAATAAAATAAACCCTTCCTTATCAAATTCCTTCTCACAATTATAGCTCTTTTCATTTCGAAGTGCATGGCCAACAGCCATACACACTACTTAACCCTTAAAGCAAGCCCTATTATTCACATATAGCTTTTCCATACTGATCTCCGCATGCTCTGTTTAAGAATAAGCTGACTTCCAAGTACCCTTTAGCCCACAATATTAACATACAGGTTCTACATACCGATCTCCCTAAGTTCTGTTTAACAATACGATGACTTTCAACTACCCTTTAGCCCAGAATATTAACATACGGGTTTTACATACTGATCTCCCAAGTTCTGTTTAACAATACGATGACCTCCAAGTAATCTCCCCATGCTCTGTTTAACAATAAGATGACTTCCAAGTACCCTTTAGCCCACAACATTAACATACAGGTTCTCGACACTGATCTCCGCAAGTTCTGCTTAACAATATGATGACTTCCAAGTACCCTTAAGCCCACAATATTAACATACAGGTTCTCCAAACTGATCTTCCCATGCTCTGTTTAACAATGATGACTTCCAAGTACTCTTCAGCCCACAATATTAACATACAGATTCTACATGCTGATCTCCACAACTTCGGTTTAACAATACGATGACTTCAAAGTACCCTTTAGCCCACAATATTAACATACAGGTTCTCCATACCAATCTCTGCATGTCCTGTTTAAGAATAATTTAACTTCAAAGCACTCTTTAAGTCCCAATATTAACATGCAAATTCTCCATACTGATCTCCACATGTTCCACTTATTACTTTACTTCCAATTTACCCTTTAAGCTACAACATTCACATGCACTTTCTAAATGTAAACGCTGTGCGCACCAATATGAACATACAGATACTGGATACATTTCCTTTAAGAATTATGGGAGCCCCAAGTTCCTCTTTAAGCCCTAATGATCACATAAAGATTCTCCATACTGAGGACCATACATAGTTGAGCTCCAATGCTGATATGCATATTCTCACTAATGATCTCCATACATTTGCTTAAAAGGATCAATTTCACCCACATACATCTGATGCCTTAATATTGATATATACATTCTCCATACATTTCCTTTAATAATTACTTGACACCTAACTCCCCTTAACCTGCAATATCCACATTAAGTCCATTAAAAACTAATCTCAAAAAAATTTCTCCCATTGTCAGACCCTTTTCTTGTTCATTATTATTTGTTACTAATTCTAATAGCCTGGTCTCTTTTGAGTCACTATTGTCAAGAGAAGATTGATGTGAAGCCTTCTTGAGATTTATGGTTTAGACTTTGTTGACAAAGGCAACCTTGATAAATTGGGAGGAAAAGAGCACACCAACCTACCCGTAACTAGATTCTTCAGTCAAGGAGACAAACAGAGCATTTATGACATCTCTTAAACACTTCTGATATTGAATAATGTTAAAAGATGCTGCTCTCCTCTTTTCCAGGATCCCAGAGTGAAGAGATACTTGATAACAGGATGAAAGACTACAAACAATGAATTTGTAAGGCTTTGTATTAGTCTATAAAAAGCACCAAGGAAAACTTCCATTTGGATTTATTGCACTGCTTGACACCAAACAATTTAATTGAAAATATGGTGTGGAAGTCACTGCAAAGTACATTTGACATTATATCTGAGCACAGAATCCAGGAACACAACATGTTCAATGACGAGTATTACTGGACTCCCAAATGATATTTCAGTTCCTTAATCCCAGTACACATTTCAGCATGAAATGGGTTGTTTTTATTTCCGAGTAAAGTCCTATTATAGCATGAGAAAAAGGAAACAGTTGCATTTTAACTGCACTTGTCTACCTTATAGAAATGGTACTTACATGTGCCACATTTTGTACATGTTTATGAAGATACACAACAATAAATTTCTTATTAACACCATGTGGAACACTCTCACTGCCCCTTTACCTTTTAATACCAGTGGTAAATAATTCCCCTTCAAGCCTATGTTTTCAAGTCCTACCCATAAGGGGTACTATAGAATCGATAAAGGTTGTCACTAATATCACTAACGTCTAATCAGTTAGGAGGTGGGGAATTGAACAAGGAAAGTCTTTTCTTTTCATACAAATACATCTGCCAGCGTGGCTCATAGGAGCTGACAGCCCTTATTGATATCGTTGACAATTTCTGTTGTGTCTCTGACCCCAAGTCATTTTAACAGCGCTTTGGACAATTGCCAAAAATGCTCACACTTCCAGTCAAGACTGTCTTTCCATAAATACATTTTCCATATGGGGTAATGTGTTTCAAGCTCTTGGATCTACTGGATCACGATAATAAGCCAATATACCTTTTTTGAAATTATGTGGAAAATGTGTGAGGCTAATTGGACAACAACATAGATTTTATAGTGAGCTGTCTACAGAGAAAAAAATGAATGCATAAAACAGATAATAAAGCCAGGCAAGGAACCTAACAAAAGTTGGGTAGAAGATAATTATCTTCATTGCACCAATCTGCGAGGTTCTTAAAAGTTGCAAAATTTCAACAACAACATTGCTTTAACCAACTTACTGATTCACCATTTCTTAATTATTTCCCATATGCAGCAGCAGCTCATGCAAAAATTACTGTTCAAAATAGACCAGTAATCTGTCCAGTAATGACATTTACAACCAGTAGTAAAGCAAAAAATCTGTTTTCATCTGGAAAGTACAATACCATATGCAGCTCTAAACATTTACTATGCTAACTGAATTCTCAGGTGGTACCCAAGACATCCCCCCCTCAAACTTTATACTCTCCCCATTGATAGGGGCTTCCAACTTGGGCTGTCTTAGTCTAAGAATCAGCCTACATTTAAGGTTCAAACAAATTTTTGTTTGCAGACTGGGCATCCCCCTTATCTCAGGGTCTGGATGACCCCCCCCCCCCCTTATCTGAATGTCTGGATCCACCATTGCAAAAGAGAGTGAAAAGCTTATATTATATCCACTGACCAATCTTTTTTTCCCCTTTTTAAGGAGGGGTAACACTCCAAACAAAACCTAACCTAACACATAATCTGGTGGGCAATGCAGTTGATACCTTTAAATGTTCCTCATTTGCTTCCCCACCATTCATCATGTCTCTTCACACCAGTAGCTGCATAAAGCCACAACTCCCCCAACACTGAAGGAAGAATTTTGGACATGACTGACCACAATGTCTACATAAAATACCACTTCATTCACTAACGTGATGAAAACTCTTCTTTGTACAGCATCACAACACTTCATAATTAAGAAGTGAATAACAACAATAGCACTAAAGAACAACTACTTACCCCTGTTAATGTTGACAGTGCAAAGGCTAGAAGAGCAGAAAAATTATAGCCATAATTTATAAAAGCAGTTGCAAGGTAACAAGGACTGGCTGTCAGGGCACAAGAACATGGCACCCTCACATTTTCAACTCAGTGTTCGACCCTTGCCCACACAGGTTCATAAATGAAGCATTAAACCAGAATAACACATTCCACATGCTTTGTGCATCAATTGACACACCTACCTCATGGAACAAAGTGGCAATTTGGAAGTTGTTCTTTCATCCTGCACTATAAGAATGATTTGAAGGACAAATTTTGATCCATTCTATTGCACAACCTTGTAATAGCCTATACGATGACCGATGGCATCCACAAACCAGCCCCACATTGCAGATTATCACAACATTAACCACAATCAAGCAGAAAATCAAAATGGCCAATTTAAATCAACACATGTACCTTCCAGTTCATATTATTGAAAATCCTTGCACGCCTATGATACCTAGGGTACATTTCCAAAAAAAAAAAAAACAGTTGCTCACCACTCTGAGTTTTTCTTACTCAATTTTCGGTGCACTCTATCCACTTTCGTTAGAGCTTGACTGTTCACTTTTAAAGTTTGTACTGTTTGGTGATTGTGCAATGGTGCTGATGGCTCTGATTTAAAACTAATGGTATGTGAGTGCCTAGCCGTGCTTTTCTCTCATTTATGGCATCTTTGATCACAGTGGAATGCCATGATACCAATAAAGCCTCATACTTCCTGCAAATATTTCTATATACAACCAACCCATGCACAATCAATGCATAAATTACATTTATTTCAGCTAAGGGTATTGATGGATAGGTGCAATAGATACATTGTTGCATTGCATAAGAACTGAGAAACATTTTATTAATGTAGAGCAGTAGGTTTTCTAGCCTGTGAAGTCAAGCTGATATCTGATGTCAAACTAAAACATTCACAACAACGGTGATTTGTCGTTTTAAAATGTCTAACATACAAGAGGACGTTTTCAATTCATGGTCATACAGTAACTTTTCACTTTCAGAAACAGCATGAATTCACATTGCTAAAACTCCAGTCTTAACCAGTCAATGAATTAAAAATTAAAACAATCATTTTTCAAGGAATTAAGCATTAGTACATTAATAATTCTTTCAACTTATATAACCTTGTGCAATTCTCTTACATGAAAACCAATGAAAAATAATGATAACCGCACTGCTGACATGATCAAATCAACATTTTAAATATATTAGGACAAAATCTTTCAGCAGTATTCCACTGAATTATATAAATACTATTAACGTAAGGAGCCGGCATTTAAGCCATATACTTCTGTAAAATTCAACGGTATGAATACAAGGCTAGAAACCTCTTTTTGTCTTTCTGCAAGTGACAATTGAAGATTATTTTCGACGGTGATTTCATCTATTTGTTATTACCTTCAATGTTTTCAGCTATATTTCTTCACTAATAATGAAAATACACCTTAAGGAAGAGACTTCTCCTCCACTACTTCACATAAAGGTTTGATACATGACAGAACACCTTTAAACACGCAACACCAACAAGGTGACAATAGCCACACATCATTAATGTGAAACACAAATGACACAACCTTTTAACTAGTGCACAGTTGTAGCTACATCCTAAAATGCAGTCTCTACTTCACTTTAAATTATATGATGAACTAAACTTTGAATAATACTTTACTTAACCTTTGAAGCATAATATAGGGACACCCAAAACACCTTCACAGGTTATAGATTACATGTTATGAAACAATAATAACTCATTAGCAAAAAGGGCATTCTGAGAGGAAGATATCAAAAGCCTTTTAGTTACATCACTTTTCATTTTCTACCAAACTGTTTACGAGTTTTAGTAACAACTGTGTTAAAATATAATACTCATAGATTTATGTGTTTAAAGAGAGCCCTCTCTTTTACTTTTAATTTATGTATAATTAAAGGCACCATTTTTAAGAAACCAACCTTGAGACACATAGGACTGACTAACACTGACTATACTTGGACACAAATCTTGTGCAGAAGAGCCTCTCTTTAAACAGCATTCTCCTGTTCTCCTACCGCACATTTCCTCTTAAACTCATCGACTTTCCGAAAGTTCAGAAATAACTTGCAAATTGACAAGTGGTCCACTGTATGGCTGAACAGGAAAGAAAAAAAAGGACATGACCATCTAGCAATGATGTGACCCTTATTTTAGAGTAACTTGTGATGGTAACCTTCCACACTATCAAAGACTGATTAACTGTTATGAAAACGGCTTTATATACAACTCAACGCATTCACAACTAGATCACTTATAACCCTTACCCAAATAAAACTCCTTACATTGTACTACTTGTCCCATACTCAATTTTAAAAGCCCAACAAAGCTTTGATTCCTAACTTGTGTAAATGAATGACATCTTTTAAACCATATCCAGATAACTGGCACTCAGTTAAACAGACCGGGGTAAATGCATTAAGGAGTGAAAATTCACACAATTTTGACATCATAAGACATTTTACAAGGAGTTTGCAACCTTGCCATTTGTTAAACAGTTCTACATAAAAATTGGGAACACTACAGCAACTGTACAGGACAAGCCTAAAAACAAGTATCAAACTTCATTTGTTGATGCTAGAAAGTGGGCAAAATAATGGTTAAAGAAGAAATTCTACTGTAACAGTTAACATTCCTTTTCTATGACAAACATGGTAAGAATCTACTGTAAAAAGCATTATTAAGCTATTCACCTGTGTGTCACAGTAAAATTCCCGTGGTGCAGGAATCTCCAAGATCCAGCTGTCAGATAACAAAGACCACATTGATAAACATTAATATAATATAGACAAGTACACGTCAGATGCAGAGCTGAGATGTTGCAAGAACAGCTGTGTGGGAATATTCAAATTATTTTTGCATCCAAAACGAATTTTCATTTTTTTGGAACATTACTGAGGCAGTGGACATTTTTAGGGAGTGACAACTGTTATTCTATATTACTGTTAAACATGAAATGTTGTTATATTCCTAGACTTTCACTCAACAGGGACTGCCATTGGTTGATTCTTGGTCACGTGGCCTTGACTAAAATCAAATGTATCCCGATCGTGATACACTAAACAATGTATCCTGCTCGGGATACATTGCAGCACGTGATCAAAGCATGGTGGAAAGTGGTGTGACAGAAGGCGGGAAAAACACCGCCAGGTCCAGCCAGTTTTCTTTTTCGTGAATGAACACAACAACACAAAAACGAAGCCTTAACCTAAAAAGCAGCGATTTTTAAAGTTATCCCAGAAGTTCCCACAAGAAAAACAGCAGCTAGTCGAGGAAAAAGATGCAGATAATATGAGAAAAGTACTTTTGTTTGTGAATCATTCATTCAGTGGTTTTGAGAATTAAATTTGTGTTGTTATAAGTACCGAGTCGACTGCTTTGGTTCGCTCCGGTTATTCTTTTGTTGCTGTTGAAGTGAAAGTCTAGAAATATAACAAAACACTTAATGTCAGGTCCCTCGGGAAACCAGTTAGTTTTGCTTTCCCTCGAGTCCTGATGTTTCCCTGACTTCGTCTCGGGAAACATCAGGACTCTTGGGAAAACAAAAGTAACTGTTTCCCTCGGGATCTGACATTAAGTGTATATTGAAATTCTGCATTGACAACAGTTACACACAAATCAGATACTGTCTTTCAGATCACCCGCCAAACAAGATATTACTTCAATTTCTACACTGTAAACTTCATACCTGTCAGTGCCATCAAGCTGGATACCAGGATTCTAAAAAAAATTCAATAAAAGAAATAGGTCTCTTTATGACTGCAGCATTAACTGTCATAACACGTAGGAGTCCTTAAGAATTTATTAAATTGTGTCACTGCTTTCCAGATGAAATTCAAATTTGGGTTTTTTCGGGGAAAAGGGAAAAGCACAGAACCCAGAGAATAACCTTTCGCAGCTAACAAGAGATCAAACAACAAACTCAAGCCACATATGCTGCCATAATATGATGTACATTTTCCTAATACTGTCTTGTATTAATTTACTCGAGGGAGCCCATTCCTTGTAAGTCTGGTGGCTTCCCTTGGGCTTCCTCACCATTAGCTTTTTAAATATTTAGATTTTCTTGTTTTTTGTACATCTGCATGGCAAAAAATAAAGTAAACTGAACTGAACGGAAGATCTCTGGGATATGAACCTGGCCACATTGAGGGACATAAGCTGACAAAATAATTCAACCCAATTTTGCCACTCTGTTGCCAAGTGACATAATACATGCACCTTTATTCACAGTAACCAAGTTCTAGTTTTCTAGAGATGATAACAAAGCTTAGCGAAACATGAAGGTAATAACATTTCCAGTACCATTATCAATGTTTACAATACACTTTGAATAATATTTATTATCATTTTGTAACTTCAAACATTTTTATATTCTCACCGTAATGGTCTGTAATCAGTGAGGGAAAGAGAAGTGGGTTAATGCAACCTCTCACACAATCTGTTATCAATTTCACAAACACCATGTTCTTTACATACCTGGGTTACTGCAGAAGGGTCACATTCTTTAAAATATGTACAGTCTCTTCCCTAGGTAAGGTAAGTAAACTTCAGAAACAAAAACATCTTTTGGCCATCAAATTATAACAACAACCATTAAAACATTTTCAAAAAATGGTCAACGCCTAGTATACGGAACAAGTGAAATAAAGTCTTCTAGCTATTAAATTAAACAAGTAATGCAGATATATTATAACAGGTCAAACTCATCGCCAATTGATGAGGTTGGGAACTGGTGCCTAAAAGGTTAGCGGGGAGGCCAACTGTGAAAAATATGGCAAGGAGGTAACCAGGCAACCCTGGAAGTGGGAACCACCCCTGCCAGCAGTCGCTAACTGGCAGCGTCACACTGAGAGAATACTCAGTGGAAAAAATACTTACCCAAGTGAAATACTTACCTGCACACCCACACATGACAGCAGGGAGGGAAGAGAGGGAGCAAGAATCCGCCAAGATTCGCCAGCACAAAGCGAAAAGGTGATCGGCAATGATCAGCCAGAATAGCTTGCAAAATAATGCCAAAGGATAGCGGCCCTGAAAACCCCAAGTGGGCCACCCCGCATGTCATGCATGCTAATACGGAAACACCACTGGCTGCATTGGCTCGAGGTTAACTTAGCCAAATAAAATTTAGCCACATTTAAACACTCCGGTCTTGTTAATGATTATCTACTTGAGGAAAAGGGTACATTGATAACAGTAATTCCACAATAAGCCCAAGACCCCTATGACCACAAATATTGAAAACAAGGCCCCCAGATCAAGTGATCAGGATATTTATATTTCCATTAACCAGGCCCCAGTTTTGTAAAAGTTGGATTGCTCTATCCATTCAATAAATTTGTTTTTGGTTTGCAAGCAGGTGAAAGCACAGCAGTGTTGGTGGTCAATTCTATACAAAAAATTGTTTTACAAAAATTTAAATGAAAATCGCATTTAGTTCCGGAGGGAGAGAAATGATTTTTTAATCTTGATCACCAACACAGGTAACATGATGTCATGTGCAAACCAGCAACATCAAGTAAATAGCCCAATTCATTTCCCTACTACTGACTGGATGGTAATTTACTCTGTGCATAGTGCTTTCCAGTTTTTGAGCAATTGGGGCCCGCACTCTAGGGAACCTTTACTTTTCACGCTCAAACGTTTCATGATATTGCTTGATTAAAGCCAGGGAAGGATCCTGGTGAGCTTTGATGTTCCAGAAACTTATCATTGGCTACAATTTCTTGAATTACCTTATTTCACTAAATGATACTTTTATGTATAAATTGTTTGCCAAATAACTTCTACAGCAAAAATCCTCTTACTTGTTCTTGTGCATAAGGAGGAGCAAGTATGTCAACAAATGCTGATGGACCAGTACTAAAAACACAGATAGAGCACATTAAAATAATAACAACTTCGCTGCTTTTAGAAGAGCATGATGTAATATTTTTGCCCAACAATAGCAAAGAACATTTCAAACTTTCCCAGCTACACCTTGGTGAAACAAAAGATGATAGTTTCACTGCCTCAATTGCAATTTAGTAAAACTGTCTGTGCGCCTTATGAATGGCAAGGCAATTCTATTGACTGGTGTTAACCATAGATAATAATAGACCATTTCCGAGTTCCCCTCGGCCTCTGTATCAAAACAAGGATAAGTGCTCAGCCTTTGATAGGGAAATGACTTTTAATTCTCATGCAAATAAAACTCATTTTCACAAGAAAAATTGTGCACTTGGCCTCATTATGAAAGTGAGTGTTTTTGGAACTTGAAAGTGGCCTATTACATTACATTATTATACAGTGATGCAGTTACTGTAATTAAATTTCTCTTCCCCACTGCCTACTAAACACTGATCCTACAATTGTTTCAAAGAGGATTCTCTATACCTTTGGAGCACCAGTGTCAGGAAAAGAAGCATTTATTCAGCACATAAAACCCACTGCTCATAGGCCACCACCAGCTTTGTAGCTTATTACCTAAGGCTAACTGGAGGGAGTAATGTCTAGAGAAAGAGAGACAAATCTTCTTTAAATATTTGTAATAAATACTCTAAGGAGGTGAAAAACGAATCACTACCTCGTATTGTGAATGGTGTGGTGATTGCCAGATGTTGGTGTTAATACACAGCTTCCACTATCTTCATTAAATGTTTGCTCAGTCTTTTTGCACCGAATTAGTCTCCCTGAAAATAATCATTCACTTAGACCATCACAAACAGTCAGTAAAAAAAAGAAAACAAGCTTTCATATCTGAGGAGAACTGGTAAACAATCTTAGCTTGGGGAAAAAATGATGAGATCTGAAATCATGAAATTTTTCTTCCATCGACAACTCACTTTATACCCAAGCAAATGCACCCTACAGCAAGAGGTATGTATCACAACAGTGAAATGAAAAAAGAACTTCCCAATAAAGGAATGTATAAAGGCAGTCAGAGATTAGAATCCTGTTGGGGACCCATTCTATGGCCCATGATTAGGTGAAATGCCAATAATCACACCTTTTAAAATAATTTATCAAGCTTTACAGGCACCATGCAGTATACTTTCAACACTGCTGATTCTAGCTGTATGCAGGGGGCCGAGATATGTCCAGAAATGCACGCATTGGCGAAAATGGCAGAAATGGCAATTAATCGCCAAAATCGCCAAACTATAAACAAAAATTCAAATGAGATGGCAAAGGGGCCCTTTGCCAAGTGGGCGATTTTGGCGAAAATGGCGTATTTGGCGAAAAAATGGCAGAAATGGCAATTAATCGCCAAAATCGCCAAACTATATAATAAACAAAAATTCAAATGAGATGGCAAAGGGCCCTTTGGAAAGTGGCGATTATGGCGAAAATGGCGATTTGGCTAAAATGGCAGAAATGGCGCTTAATCGCCAAAATCGCCAAACTGTAAACAAAAATTCAAATGAGATGGCAAAGGGGCCCTTTGCCAAGTGGCAATTTTGGTGAAAATGGCGATTTGGCTTAAAATGGCAGAAATGGCAATTAATCGCCAAAATCGCCAAACTATATAATAAACAAAAATTCAAATGAGATGGCAAAGGGGCCCTTTGCCAAGTGGCGATTTTGGCGAAAATGGCGATTGGCTTAAAAATGGCAGAAATGGCAATTAATCGCCAAAATCGCCAAACTGTAAACAAAAATTCAAATGAGATGGCAAAGGGGCCCTTTGGAAAGTGGCGATTTCGCGAAAATGGCGATTTGGCTAAAATGGCAGAAATGGCGCTTTTAATCGCCCAAATCGCCAAACTGTAAACAAAAATTCAAATGAGATGGCAAAGGGCCTTTTGAAAGTGGCGATTTCGCGAAAATGGCGATTTGGCTTAAAATGGCAGAAATGGGAATTAATCGCCAAAATCGCCAAACTATAAACAAAAATTCAAATAAGATGGCAAAGGGGCCCTTTGAAAGTGGCGATTTCGCTTAAAATGGCGTATTTGGCGAAAATGGCAGAAATGGCAATTAATCGCCAAAATCGCCAAACTATAAACAAAAATTCAAATGAGATGGCAAAGGGCCCTTTGCCAAGTGGCGATTTTGGCTTAAAATGGCATATTTGGTTAAAATGGCAGAAATGGCAATTAATCGCCAAAATCGCCAAACTATAAACAAAAATTCAAATGAGATGGCAAAGGGCCCTTTTGAAAGTGGCGATTTTGGCGAAAATGGCGATTTGGCTAAAATGGCAGAAATGGCAATTAATTGCCAAAATCGCCAAACTGTAAACAAAAATTCAAATAAGATGGCAAAGGGCCCTTTGGAAAGTGGCGATTTTGGCGAAAGTGGCGTATTTGGCTTAAAATGGCAGAAATGGTAATTAATCACCAAAACTATAAATAAAAAAATTCAAATGAGATGGCAAAGGGGCCCTTTGAAAGTGGCGATTTCGCGAAAATGGCGATTTGGCGAAAATGGCAGAAATGGCAATTAATCGCCAAAATTGCCAGACTATAAACAAAAATTCAAATGAGATGGCAAAGGGGCCCTTTGCAAAGTGGCAATATTAGCGAAATTGGCGATTTGACGAAAAATGGCAGAAATGGCGTAATCGCCAAAATCGCCAAACTGTCAACAAAATTCAAATGAGATGGGAAAGGGGCCCTTTAGAAAGTGGCGATTTCGCGAAAATGCCAGAAATGGCAATTAATCGCCAAACACGCCAAACTGTAAACAAAAATTCAAACACGATAGCAAAGGGGCCCTTTGGGAAGTGGCGATATTGGCGAAAATGGCGATTTGGCGAAAATGGCGGAAATGCGATTAATCGCCGAAATCGCCAAATTATAAACAAAAATGCACATGAGATGCCAAAGGTGCCCTTTGGAAAGTGACGATTTTGGCGAAAATGGCGTGCACTAATCTTGTATCTTTTCATCAGCCACAAAAATAAAATTAAAAAAAAATTAGAGTGCATGTTGGCCGTTCGTCCTGTTTTGGCAGAAATGGCAATTACTCGATGAAATACCTAATTTATGAAGACAAATTGAAATGACATAGCAAAGGGTCCCTTTTGAAATGGCTATTAATTGCCAAATAGTTAACCACATATTAATATAAAAATGTTTCCAATAGTATAATTGTATACTAATAATGACAACGCTACTGTAACTTAAGTGTCATTAATCTGTTTTTAATGCTTTTACCTTTAATTGATAACCTCTTGTGATTTGAAATTCGCCCCAGACAAGAGTGTTTGGTCGGGAATTACCACTTATAACTAATTTCTTGCTCAATTCAAATCGAATGGCCAACGAGTTGTATTCGATTATCAGTAAATGGTAATCTTCGTAATGTTCATGGCAACTTTCTTACCAAAAACTCCAAGATAGGTATCCTTAATTTTCCAGGCTTGTAGGCATTGTTTGAATAGCGACAGTTCAACATTATATGTTATGAGGAATCCAGGTTGATTCTTGGCTACGCATTCAGATAATTAGATGGTCCGTATTGCCTTGTATATCCATCCTGTTTGTTATAATGGCGTTCAATCGTACAAGTATATATAAACGAGCTGGTTCATTGCAGTTTCACAGAACATGAACGTGTAAGGTTTAGTAGTTGTTATATAGACGCGGCGGCCATGTTGAAATAGTCGATTTTGGATAACTACTTTATGTAAGTGGAAACGATTAGTGTCATTCCCAGCCGACTTTGGTGGTCACTCTATGTAAGCAAAACGATTAATGTCGTTCACAGGGACTCTCAGGCAATTGTTAAAATAGAAGGTAAAAAGGCCGGGTGACGTGTTTCGACGAGCATTAGCATTAGCAATTTAATGGAAAACATATTGTACTGAGAATTGGTTTGGTGGTCTCAGCGCAAAAAAACAATACATTTTCTAAATTTCTGGCCCCACCTCATAAAGCAATAATGGGACACATTTTTTAAGAACGAGACAAACATGTACACTCTCTTTTTATCTAGGTTGATGAAAAGATACAGAATTAGTTTGAATGGGATATGTTTTATGAAAGAGACAAACAAGTTATTACTTTGATCCAATGTTTATGTTCAATAAATGCGGTGAAATATGGGGCACAAGTGACATTTCGTGCAGGTTTACATAAAGTGGAAATAAGCGAATTCGCACATTTCAAAATGGCGCATGCAAGCTGCTGGACATTTCGGCTTTCGTTACTTTTAGGGGACCGTTTCTCTAAAGAGCAAAACAAGTAAGTGCGAGAAGAAAGTGAAGAGTTTAAAACAACGGAAGAAGATAATGTGTATAGTGGAGAACAAAAAAAAAGAATGAAGGGCGCACAATGGTTATCGTGAAAGCATCTTTTAGCCAGGAACCATGCGTTTCGCAATTGCTTTTGATTTAAGGCTGCCTCACAATTTAATGGAACCAATGTGAAGAGAATTGTAACCAGTGAGGATTGTTAAGGTGTACATCGAACCTCAAAAGTTAGAGTGTCCATGGCAAGGAATTATTATGATTTCAAGGACTTGGTAGTTCTCTCCTCGAGTAATTAGTGGACTTGTAAGTCTTTGAAATGAATGAACCATACAAAAGCAAATGATGCTAGTGTGATATTTCAGCGCATCACATCACTTTTGGTAAGTCAAGCGACATCGAAAGTAAGGAAATGTTTACTTAACCTGTGAAGTACATGGCACAAATACATATTAGCTTAACTGAAACGACTTCCATTTGTTGTTTTCAGATATATTTGATTCACTTGTATTTAATAAAATAATGTTGTTTGAAAGTTAGGTAAAGCTGTTTTGTCATATATTTGATTCAGTTGTATTTGATAAATGTTGCCTCACAGTTATTGGGGCCTCTTATTAGGCAAGTAATTTGAACTTTTTTTTTCAGTACTGTTGCCTCACAGTTATAAGGACCTCTTAAGTTATCTACTTTGAAGGCGCCACTTTTGGCATCCAATTTGAATATTTTGCCACATTCTGGATATCGCCAGCCCACTGGCGATTTTTGCCAAAATCGCCAATTTCGCCAAAATCGCCATTTTCGCCAAAATCGCCAGCCTCCAAGGGGCCACTTTTGGCATCCAATTCAAATCGCCAGAGGCTGGTGATTTTTCGCCAGTTTCGCCATTGCATGCATGGCGATTTTTGCCAAAATCGCCAATTTCGCCAAAATCGCCATTTTCGCCAAAATCGCCAGCCTCCAAGGGGCCACTTTTGGCATCCAATTCAAATCGCCAGAGGCTGGTGATTTTTCGCCAGTTTCGCCATTGCATGCATGGCGATTTTTGCCAAAATCGCCAATTTCGCCAAAATCGCCATTTTCGCCAAAATCGCCAGCCTCCAAGGGGCCACTTTTGGCATCCAATTCAAATCGCCAGCAGCTGGCGATTTTTCGCCAGTTTCGCCATTTTCACCATTGCATGCATTTCTGGACATAAGTGAGGGGGCCCGCTCCCAATCACCTCCTTTTGTCTTCTTGATCAACAAGAAAAGGAGGCTCAGCCTTTGAAGTTGTCCCAGCCAAACTTCTGGACCAGTTAACCTTGGTTTCTCTCATCAATCCATTTTTTGAGTTCAAGCATCCATTGATTGATAACCAATGGTCACAACTGAGCTCCCTGTCCTGAGAACATGACTATTAGGCCTTGGGTGCAAGTGTAATTTACAAGTGTAACCATTGCTTTACAATCTGACTAGCAATAGCTAAACTTTTAAATTACCGTTAAAAAAGTTTTATTAAATTTAACCCTGGGTTCAAAACTGTATCTGAGCAAGAAACAGTGCATGCTCAACAAAGATCTTACTTTATTCAAGCAGAGTTTTTTCTGAGTTGAGCAAGCAAAAAAAAATATTTTGAAGGTAGGATGCCTCATAAGACAGAAAAAAAGACAAAACAACTGCTCCGTTGGTTATTGACTTTCATAAAGAATCAAGGTTCTGAAAAGAACCGGCTAGATTTTGTTAAAGTGGTACACATTACACATTATGCAAATTTCTGCATCTCCTTCTTGTGCTTCAAACTTCTCATCAAGAAGTTCTCAAATATTGGCTGTTTTTTCTTCGGTTAAAATGGTTTCTCAAAATCCTTCATCAGATGATGCACAACTCCACAGGACTTACACCAGTAGGGATTCACTGTATAGATCACTGTTCTCTTTCCATATTTGTTGTGCTTGCTCTAATAACCAGTTCCTCTCTTTGGGATGATTCTTTCTCATCAATATCAGCAGGAGCACAATCCAATATGCTATTAACAGGGTTTGTATACCTCTTCCCATATACATTTCAAGGACCCACTTTATTACTTATTAATTATTACTTATTTCACACACAATCCAAACAAACTTTGTAATCTTGACACGGTAGCTTGACACAGTAGCAAAAGCCTTTGTATTTGCGATATAGCTTGGCTGTTGAAATGAAAACATATCTCTTAATATAAATTCAGTTTGGTGGCATGTAACCCAGACAGTCTGCTCATGTATATAAAAAGCTGCATCCCCAAATTTCAACTTCAATTTTCAAAAGATAATAATAAAACATTTATACTGAAGTTTGCTAATTCTTCATTTTGAGCTTAGCTTTGGCTGTCTGTTTGCAGCAAGCTTTCAAACCTTAACTCTCAAAATAGACACCTCTTAAAAGATTTTCTTGACTCCCAATTTTTACTTCAGTGTGAAACGCAATGGTCCATTGTAAAACAGTAATTAACAGGCCATTAACCTGCGAAAAAAGATGACATTTCGCTAAACACCCACCATTAGTTTCCAGTACAAAACAATGTCTGAGAGGTGATAACAGATATTCTGTACTGACGATACATCAGTACCCAGATCTGGGTAGTGACATGTCATCACTATGGAAATTCTCCAATTGTTGCTCACATGTTATTTTGCAGGGAAACCAGGGGTGGTATTGTGAAGTGTTGGCAGCTTTCTCAGCCTAAAGAGCTTTAGAACTGAGGTAAAACAGATGTGTCAATTATTTCTCAAGAAAAGCATTCTTCAGAATTCTCATCACATAAAGCTTAAAATGACACTGTTTGTGAATCAAAGTTGTCTGCAAGTCACCATCATTAACTGGAAAGATCAGCAACATTAATTCAAGCAACACATTATGTTTTTTTTTGGTATGTCAAAAGTTTAGTCTGTTTAGCTGCATTCTGAAAGTTATGGAACATATTCTGAGAACTTGGAGGATTGGGACCGCCAGCACATGGGGAATGAATTGGATGTCACAATTCTTCGAATGAATGCAGCTTGCCCCACTTTAAACTAGACTTTAAAAACCATCCAAATCAATGTTAATCGTTTCTGGACAATACACTGTTCAAGAAGTTGTCAGTTGCTCTGAATGGACTTTTGAAGTGTTTAAGGGGAACTACCTTCCACGTGATCATGATCGAAATAACTTTCTAAAATTCATTATTTACGAATATTTATATCAATGAGTTTCTGGGTGATACGTATGTTTGAAACTTTTCTCTGAAAATTTATGTACACATTAACATTGCTAGTGTTCTTGCTCATTCTTGGCATAGAAAGTGCATGTTATATGTTAAATATTTAGATTTTCTTGTCTTTTTGTACATCCTTATGCCAAAACAATAAATTGAACCTGTGATCTTTGGTATTAAATACTGAGACAGATCATTATTTTTCTTTGGTTTCTACCTTCTTCTCTGATACAAAGAAAATTTTAATGTCTTATTTTAATGAGATTATCAATACTCATAGTCAACTGGGAGATTTCCTGTTGTCAGCAGGTGATCATGTTTCTCATGTGTATTCAAGCCATTGCCACGTAGTTTTGCCCTTCTGGCTTGCTTGGAGTTGCCTTGCTGCTTTTTGCCTTTTCTTCATCTACTCCCACCCGCCTCTTGCTTCTTCGAGACTCGTTCAGGTTTAGATGTGGCTAAATATCATTTAGGCAAAGTTAAATTCGAGTGACTTGGCCAGCGGTCTTCTCTTACTCCAGTTTGTGACCTATGGGGTGGCCCTCAAGGAATTGCTGGGCTCCTTGTGTGCTCTTTTGCTAGTGTTGCGTTGCATCATAGCTTTGCTTGCTGATCGTAGTGCATCAATTTTTGCCTTCTTGCGAATCATTGCGGATTCTTGCTCTCTCTCCTCCCTCCCTGCTGGGTGGTTTCGTAAGACTGTATTTTCTCAGGTAAGTATTCTCTTAGGTAAGACATTAGTATCTCCACTGAATTTCATTCAGTGTGACAGTGCTGGTTAGTGGCCGCTCCTGGGGTGGTTCCTGCTTCCAGGGTTGCCATGGATACCTCCTCTCTGCCTATTGCATTTGGCCTCCCACTAACTTTTAAGGCACCTGCTCCCAAGCTCATTATTAGCGATGAGTCTCATGTAAGTTCTTTTGTGTTCTTTATTCTCCACTGATAGATCAGTGTGACAGTGGGCAGGGGGAGGTGACCCCTGGGAGGTTGCCTTAAACCTCTCTTCATTTGCATTTTGCCCACATTCATTTGCTTATTGCTCGCATTGGTCACAATGGGCATCTAGTCTCCATCTTCATTGCTACTTATCGACAAGTTAATCATGCTAACGCATTGTTTGCATGTCATCACCTAAGTTACCAAAACCCGGTGGAGGGACACATATAGCCCCATATTAATTTCATAAGCTCTATTGAATAGACTTACAGTAGTCTAAAAAAATGGACACTTTATCCTATAATTTTTGTCAGCATGATAACTTTTATAATCTTCTGGGCCCAGTTCCTCAAAAGATGGTTAAGTTTAACCCAGGATTAAGCCAAATTTCAAGCATGGTTTTCTTGTCTAAGAACATGAAACTTGAGCTTACAAAACACTGTCTAGCCTTTACTCCAAGATACAGTGATGATAACACAAAATGTTACTCTAAGAAATTCATAGCAAGGTAAAAGACAAAAATGGCACAAAATTTAAATCTTGGATTGGTGCTAATCGGCCTTTCAGGAACCGGGCCCTGATGTTCTCGTTAAAACAAGGTGTCACATAACTTGATCAAGAATTATGTATAGTACACACTCGTAGGGACCATCAATGGCTTTTTGATTTCCCTTGCAAATTCAGTACTGAAGGACAATTAAGATATGTGAAAAAAATAAAAAGGCTTGATATTGTTTTTTTAAATATGGATTTATTTCTTCTGATGGATCTTAAATGAGAAATATGATGCAATCATCCACTGACCAACACTCAAGGTTCACAAGTTGTGAGAACACTCTTTCTTGTGACACACTTTTTTACTTCTCCCCCAATTTTAAGCTCAGTTCACCAAACATACACTACTCAAAGGAGCAATAGCTTTCTAGTTGGACACCGTCACATCAATTATGGGTCTCCAAACTTTATAATTAGCTATAAATTAACATATAACTTGATGAATGACAACTGGACACAAGTTTATAACTCACTTTTTAACTGGGAACGAATGGGGTTCCTGGAAAGCCCTTCCATTTTGCCGTTCAGAATGGTTCTAAGTGGGAAATAAACAAGTGTTACCATAACTTTTTTGATAATGAAAACTATAAGAACATAATGATCATACAGCAATCTTAACATTATATTTGACACAACCTTATACAACCCTCAAAGACCACCTTCCTTATCACCTGAGCTGGCTATTTGCATAAACGTAAGGAAATGCACATGTACAGGTATACATATGTGTTGTCAAGGCTTGAAATTAACTTTTTACATGGCTACCTTTACTTTAAGCAAGGTCAACCTCAAGTTAAACCCATCAACAATAGATGAGCGTGGGGAAGGTGCCAGAAGAAGCAGAAGGGGGCCGCAAGCGATCTTAGAGGGTAACCATGACAACCCTGACCAGGCACCGTCACACTGAGAATCTCAGTAAAGAGAGGCGCAGATACTTACCAAAACAGCATCCAGAGAGGAGGGAGGGTTGGGGCAAATAACAACTATAACTACTGCACGCAAAAGCAATGAGATCAAAATGATTGACTTCTGTGAAAGCACTGTAAACTCACTAAGGCCCTGCTAAACCCTGGGACAGCCCCACATACGATTAGTGAAGGAGACCGCCCGCAAGCATTGTCTTGCGTTTAACTTAGCCTAAATCATAGTGGCTTGCAGCTGAGAAGGGGTTGGAATGCTAAGTACCACATGGCAGCCACTACACAGTGCACCTACCAGACAGTGACCTACCACATGGTGCACCTGTTGGTCTTCACTTTACACAAAATCTCTTTTTTGCATCTATAAAATATATAGGAGTTTCAAATGTATAATATTACTTTTTGCACAAGGTGTGAAGCATTTTCTTTTGAAGAGTCAGGGGATCTAACATACGAGATGTCCCCTCTGTTCATTTAAAAAGACAGTAATCAATTCAAAGTCTGACTTTGAAGAATGATTATACAGTCACACTAATTTGAATCAATTGAAACAAAAAGCTGCCTCAAGCTAGTTAGTTCACAGATCTCAAGGGCAATGATTTCTTGTCCTAAGTAATGTTCTAGTTCAGTCATTATTAAATAAAACTACAAATTGCGAATTGCCAAGTATTTAATTATAATAATTATTATGAGCTTCTGCGGTACAATGTCAAAAATGAGGGTGATTAAATAATATTATCAATAGACTCAATTATGCATTTTTTGAACTATTTTTGTAATCATTCTCATCATTGTCTCTTAATGTATTCAAAGAATGTAACAACACACTTTGTGGTGCCCAGTCCCCTTAGAACACTGTGTGTTAGTTTTGGTGCACAGTGTAGTAGTTTAATGTGGCTAAATATCATTAAAGGGAAGTTAAACTTGAGCGAGTTGGCCAGCAGTCTTTGCCCACTCTGGTACGTGACCTATGGGGCGGCCCTTGGGGAATTGCAGGGCTCCTTGTGCGCTCTTTTGCTAGTGTTGTGTTGCATTGTAGCTTTGCTTGCAGATCACAGCGGATCAATTTTTGCCTTCTTGCAAATCACTGCCGATTCTTGTTCCCTCTCCTCCCTCCCTACCTAGTGGTTTCATAATCATTTCTCAGGTAAGTATTCTCTTAGGTAAGTATCTCCACTGATTTTATTCAGTGTGACTGTACCTGTTAGTGGCTGCCCTTGGGGTGGTTCCTGCTTCCAGGGTTGCCATAGATTCCTCCTCTCTGCTTATTGCATTTGGTCCCCTACTAACCTTTAAGGCACCTGCTCCCAAGCTCATCATTAGCGATGAGTTTAATCTCATGGTACTTAAACATTGCAAACTAATTGCAACAACTTCATTCTCCCAGGCACGTATTCTGAAGGGGCACCCTTTAGGTTGGAAGGGCTTATTACATAATTATTGTGTTAGCACTGCAAATCATTGCAGATTCTTTTTGCCCAACCCTTGCCACTTCCAAGGCTTGTCTGTTTGTATTGGTAAGTATCTGTTCATGTCAGTCTTATTCCACTGCAAGTTCCAGTCTGACAGTGCTTGTTACAAGCTGTTGCAGGGGTGGCTCCCACTTGTGCGATTGCTATGAACACCTCCCTATCTTAGGCCCTACAGAGCAAACTTTTAAAATTTGAGTTACCAAGCTCATTAATTGGTGAGCAGTTTATCATTCCAGCATCAGCTGGCATACAGAGGAAACTTTAACTTGCAAAATAGAACTATTTGGTTGCCAGTTTAAGACTTCAAGGAATCTTACAAAAATAGACTTTATATCACAAGAGTATGCTAGTACAAAGACAGAGTTCCTTACTTCTCCATTGTTTTGTCTTAAAACTTATAGCCTCATTTATTAATTTCATTTCTGTGACATATGTGAACTTGACTTGATCACCAAAACAGCATTATTAGTTTGACAGGTTGAAAAACTGGTGGCCATTATCAGCCACAATTTCAAGGTCTTGTTGATAGACATGTCTTCGGGACATAACTACTCTATTTCAATCTCTGACCTGCACTGTAATCAAATTGTCAGCCAATGGTTATCAGTTGAGTAATAGTATAACGAAAACAAGTATAACTTACTCGGACTGGATATCATAAGACTCCACTGATATTTGGCCATGAACAACTTTACTGCAAAAATAATAATAAACACACTGTATTAACCAAACTAATAATCCAGCTAACACTTACAAGCCCAGCTAATGGAAACACTGTAAGGCACATCTGTTATATATTACTATAAAATGTAACAAGGGCCTATCTTTTTTCCTCTAATCCATGACATTCCTACATTCCATCTGACCTGCATTGTTAACGATAGGAGACCCTGCACTTGCTGAGGAAGGCTCACGTCAATAATAACATCGTACACACAAACATTCCTTAAGGCTTACTGCTTTGAAACAGACAGTCGTTTGTGAGGCATTAAAGAATTGTAGGACGTGATTTGCAACAAGGCCTTACTAACCTGACAAAGAGAAATTGCTGTCTCTTCAAGCAGACTGAGCTATGCATTATCAGTCTGGATTATTTGCTACAACCAGTTGCAAAAATGTTGAGACACTCCCACGAAAAAACGGCCTTTCTTGCTTCAAATCGCTCCTAGTCACAGGTCTGCGAGATATAATACTGACCTCCCTCTCATTCAAAGTTGTTCATCCAAGTTTTGTGTATGGTCTTGTATTGCTAGCAACTTTTATAAGGGGTGGAGGGGGGATCAAAAGCACAAGATCATGGACAGGCCATTTATGCCATTTATGCCATTTATACGGTACAGTGTCTCACGTACTTTTGCAACTGGTTGTAGCATTTGTAATAACCCTTCAAATTTCCTTCCTAACAAATGTTTATGATCTTAAAAAATAGCATTTCCAAGATATACTTGTTTTTTCTTTCTTAACCAAGGGAAGAATTTTTATTGAGGGTCACAAGTTTGGAACAGTTGCCAAATTTTGAGGGACAATTATTGTCAGGGAAGTGCCGGAATGTCACAACTTCACATTATGGCTCAAACCTAATATATTAAAACACCTTTTCTATGACTGAATTCCTATTTAAAATTGACCTACAAATAGACAGTGTAATAGATAACTATGTAGTATGACATAACACAAAAACAAAATTTTGCCATGGCCTTTCTCCGCAGCTATTTTTGTGTCTTTCAAGGGAACATTAGTACAGTACATTATGAAACAAAGAGTGACAGTGTAGGAAATAGGAAACAATGTTAAATCATCCATTTCAAGAGTGCCTAAGTGGTGAGAATAAAAGCAAGGATGGTTTTGGAGGCACTTAACAGAATGCTGTTTTTTAAATTCAGTGCAGTCCGGCCCAGGCAGACATGTAACTGCACTGGGGATTTTTTTTGCCGCAAGTCATACAAACAGTTACGTTTAATGTGGCAAGACTATGGAATAGGCAGTAACCTCTGGGCATGAAAGACTGCTGCTTGTTAACTAACTTAGAAAACAAAATTAAGCAAATCAAAATTTTGCAACTTGCCATGGAAAATCTTAAGCAATTCTTAAGTTAGTTACTTTCAAATTTAAACCTATGTATTTTAAATGATTTTTTTATTTTCTCTGGGGGCCACGGGTAGATTATCAAGAGATATTGAGAGCTAACCTAAAAGAAAACAGCTTTTATTCTCTGTCACATTTAGTTACTTCCTGTGCAGAAGATATGTTAAGCAATATCCCTCCCCTCCTCCCATAAGCAGATATCCTTGGCAAGGTCAGAGAAAGTATCCATAACTTGTGCTGGCCACTTACAGAACTGACTGTTCAGGCCTTTTGTTTTATGGGGGGAGGGCATGATTTCAAAGGAATACTGTTTTCGCAACAAAAAATTCTTGCATGGAATTACAAATGATTGAAACGTAACTAGACTACACAGACTTAGATGATCATGCAGGTTAAATGATAATATATCTGCCTACCGGGATAGAAGAAGCTATACATTTAGCAAGGAAAATGAGCGATTAGATATCACACTTTCCACTTTGCATTGCGCAGCCTAGCGTAAACCTTGTGAAGACACTTACTATTTGATCTTGACATACTTTCTGAATTCTATGCTTTGTATTGAGTAAAAGTCCAGGAGAATTTTTCAATTTGACTTAAGACCTTATTTTTGCTACTTGCTGCTGCTGCTTGGAGATCATTATGCCAGTGTGTTGCCATTGTTGACTTCCTGTGGTTGACGTTTGCATTGTGTGACATCTTTGCCAGCACAGTAATACACTAACAGGCAGTTTCTTAACAAGATTAGTTCAAAATTCAATTTTAGAAATAACAGTTGTTTTGGGTTTATGCAAATTTATTAAGTTTACTTCATTGACAGTTTTGTGTTTGCATTTTCTCATCCTTGCTAACAGTGTGAATTCCAATACTTAATACTATTAACAGTTATTTTGACAAATATTCAAACAGCACACAAACAACACACAAAGCAATAATTGTTATTACAAACAGATGGACATGGTCCATCATTGCACACATTCATGTGCTCTAGTTATGGCACGGTTCTCAAAAAGATTTTAAGTGGCAGGAGAATAAGAGAAAGTAACTGGCACTGGGGACTTAAGGACCCCCACCAGGCGAGGGGTCTGGGGGCTGCCCAGCCCCCCAGTGGGGTACAGGGGCAGTGCCCTGTTAAAGGTCCAGGGGGCGAAGCCCCCAGGAGCAAAACAGATTTGAGGTTTTCACACTTGCTGAAATTGGTTCTCCCCTGGCTGAGAGCAATACTAACAAGAGATGTATCTGTTTTTTGAATAAAAATCATTAATCCACTTTTTTTGTCCTAATACATCTTAGGTCCATATATTTTTGTTTACAATAATAATGTTTACTATTTACAGTAGGATTTTATATGATGATAACAGATCATTTCTTTAGTTGCAATGCATTATCGGCACATGCGCAATTCAAACTTTGATGCTGCAAAAATTAATGCTTTTCTTACGCGCGATTTTCTCTATAAGAATGATGTTTCAGACAACTTTCCTTGGTTGGTATATTATAACAAATCCTGTCTGCACATGTAGCATACCCGTCTCTTTCATCAGCATCAATTCATAAAAAAACTAAAATGATATCCTACACATCTGACAAATTTTTATCACAGCAAACTACATTTAATACATTTATGCATTGCATTACATTTCATTCGATTTCAAATGCATACACGTGCTAGCCTGCGAACAGCAGATGTATTTCTGGTCGTCACTTCTCTCCCTCTGAAGGGAGAGAAGCGACGACTGGAAATACGTCTGCTGTTCGCAGGCTACACCCATGCCAGATGAATGCAAAAACCATAAGTTTGTTTGACATTTGTTTTAAAATAGAGAATAGAGCGTCAACACAGAGAAATTTCCAAAAAACAGACACTCAAAAGCTTTTGTGTGTCTTTCTTTCTTCATTCTCAGTGAAAGATTATTTAAAGACAATGTAAACAAACCTACGCAATTTTTCTTTGCTTCGTGGTATCATATTATGGCTACGAGAGTGGATTAGAAAACTCGTCAAAAATCATGAAAAAGAACATTCAGGGCATGATTGAAACAATTCCTTTTTCTATTTCTATTTTACAAATTTTTTAATTGTTCATTTTTAGGCTTTTATCCAACAATTTTTAGCCGGTGAAACCTTCAAAGTAGCCGGCAATAGTTGATCCTTGGGAGTTTATTGAACACAAAACGTGTGGATTCAAGTCCAAATGGCTTGAAGAATTTTCATAAATAACCACATGAAATGCAAAACATGTCTCAATGCAATGCATACAGATATTTGGCAAAAGCATCCCAATCATTAGTACATGGTGTAACTAATTTTCTGCGATTAGCCTCACATTGCCATCAATTGAAAATGAAAATGGCAGCTGTCTAAATCCTTAAACAAAGATCTCACAAAAAGTTTACGCGACATGTGGAAAAACAAACTCAATCGCTTTTATATGTCTTTGAAAGCTTAAGTAAGAATGACTCTATTTATTGTAAAGACAGAAATTGAAGACTGCAAATTCCCCCCTCCCATTCTTGTAGTCACTTTGATTCACACAAAGTAGGTTTGGGGACTCTCTAAAAACAAAAAGAGGGGCCCTAATTTCCTGGGACTGGAGGTCCTAAGGACCCCTAACTTTCAAAATCAGTGAGAATTCTGTGGGTGGGTTTTTATCTTATTCGGCTATTTGACGAAGTGAGAGCTAAACAGGAAAGATTTTCTTGAAATGACCAGGCATTACTAGCTATAGCTAGGTATCCAAGGCATAAACCATCTGCATTTAACTTGATAGTGGACATCCATGTTATAGTCAATTGACAGCTGTCAGAAAAGGGTATCTGCCAACCAGTGTCATGTATGACTGTATCATGGGCTTAAGTATACAACTCATTGACATGATGTTTTTTGTGTAAGTTATCTGCTGACCAGTTATTGGTTTTATTTGATCAAAGGCTAAGGTTCAAAATTTCTCACTGTCAAAGAACTGTACCTTGTCGTTTCTATGGCATTGCCTGACTGAATGACCTGTTGTGCACAGATATGGAAAATTACTTCTGTTTTTTTTATTGTATTCACTTTAAGAATAGTCGTAAAGGGCCATGGCATATATTCAAAAACTTATTTAACATGGCTGTTTAATCATTACAGGGAAATCTCACACCTTGAATTTGATGTATTGACCTAGCTATCACTCAGTTAACAAGTGGTATATTATAAGGGGGCAAAATGTGATAGTAAAATTATGGACTTATGTATAAACAACCACCTGATTAACTTGTTAATTTCTGCATGAATTGAATCAGGAAAGTGACTAACTTTGCTAAATACCTCTTGTACCATGATACATAAAGACTTTTGCAACTCCTTGTAGTGACAGAAGAGTAAACATGTATACTTTACAAACTCCACAGGTCAATCAGAAAAAGTTTAAGAAGCGCCACAGTAAACAGCATCAGCATGTTTGAATTAGCATTGAAGAGGTTTATTTAGTCTATGCTGGCAAGAAACCAATCACATATAGAGCCTTCTTTCTTCATAAAACCATGTACCTGCTAAGTTATGCTCGATTTGATTGAAAACAAGGTTGCCCTATGGCCGGCACATTGGGCACTGAACACAAACTTGTAAGAGCATCTGCAGAGTTGATTATGTGTACATTTACCAACTATTTTTGCAACCAAAAGTGTTCAAAGGAGGATATGACTATCTTCCCGTCATGCATTGTGGTCAAACTAAATTATCAAATGGCTGAATCCAAGTGTGACTTATTTGAAAGTGTCACTGCAGAGGTAACATAAAGGCACAAGAGAGATACACAAAATAATTCTTTAGAAATGCTGTACATTCCATGTAAACTGTATTGATTGCATGATAGAATTTTAGGAGGTAGCTATAGATACCCTTCTCAGGTCTAAGATTTTGTTTACCATTTAAATTGTTCATCAAGATTGTTTGACTTTATGTAAATAAAAGCTTACTGATAAACCCTTGCTAAGGGGGTCTGAGGTGAAATAAATATTTATTAATACTTCTTTAAAGCTTAGTACATATTTTGTAATAAAATATGCATTGAATGTAGAAGGTATCAAAGAAGCTGGCTACGAGAAACTTGATAGACAATGAGTAATAGATCAATGATTAACATGGCCAGTAGATATAATCTTATTGAGCTGGCCAAAATACTGACATGAAAGCATTTTTCGCAGCTTCAAAGACTGGTGACCTCTAACACTACAGAGTCAAAAGGAGTCAACCAGGTTCTTCAGAATATTTGAAGTATAATAGTGAGGATTTTTGTCTCAATTCTCAATCGACTCCTTGTTTGATTACTGAAATGAATAATTGAAAAATACCACGCATACAACAGAATAGCAGTGACATATGACGGGAGAAAGGTCACATAGTCGAATCTTACGAAAAACAGACTAATTTAATCAAGAAATTGTTCTGTTCTCTTGGTGAAAGAGAAGAAATTACACAAAGATCAACTTTACCTCCATATCTCATCCTTGAAGCGGTGAAAAATTCTCAGAAACTTTAAGTAAAATTCAAGTTTTCATCATACAGACCGGAAACAATCACCCTGAAATAGGTGCAAGGCCCACCAGGAAGATGCTCCTTTAAAGTGTTCTAAACACCCTGATGGTTTGAAAAGAAGTCCAGCAATTCTGACAAAGTAGTGATTACATACAAAAAATACAGCAAAGCCATACAAATATTCTACAAATCAGGAGTGAAGTTTCCAGTAAAGTATAAGGTTGAGCAAGTGTTCCAATAGTCGGCTTGTAAGTGAGCACAAGAAAGCAAGGCATGCAAATATCTAACTAACACACCTTGAGAATCAAACTGCTATCTCAGGGATGTAGCCAAGGAAAAGCTATGCACGCTTTTTTATTATTCAAGCGGACCTTTTTATGCAACTGCTCCTCCAAAATTACCCAATGTCTTTGCTTTCCCAAGCAATTTGAGCCAGCTGTAAGCTCTTTTTTACCCAATGAAATAGTGGGCAGCCCACTCTTAGCTACATCTCTGGTATCTGAGTGAAATACGTCTTTCCCTGCAGTTGTTCATGCATAGAGCAAGAATTGTTAACTTTTTGAAATGTTTTCATTTACCTGATTTTGAAACAATGCTTGCCAAAAACACTAAGAAAACTTCAACGCAGTCAACAATGTATGATTTCATTTCTACTTTTATTGTAGTATTTAGTACTACTTACCACAAACCAAACATGCCAGGGTGGTCATGAAGGGGAATTGAACATCCTTTCTTGAGAATAAACACAGCTAAAGTAAAAATGGGACACTCAAAGATAGACACATGTGTTGCTGGTGCTCGAGAATAGCTTCCATTGCTCTTTTCAGGAAGAACAAGTTTGATGTCTTCTGCAGTTACAGAGTCAAGCTAAAACAAAAGGCATGATGCCATATTAGAAAAAATAGAAAATGAATGAATACATTAAGGGGGTATTACACTCTTTGTAACAAGTTACTAGGAAATCCATTTATGAAAGACACTACAAAACACATTTTTGGAAGGAATAAAAATAGTACATGTACAGGGCTTCTGATATTTTGTGCGGTCATGGAGCCGCTAAATTCAGGTGAATCAACAAAATCTCCCGAAATTCACAAAAACACATGAAATACCTACTAGGTGGCAAGTGAAGTGATTGTGCTACCCTTACTAAAGCCAATTATTGTTTAATGTCTTGGTATATTATCGAGCTATTTTGAAAAAATGGCTCATATGTCAGTGGAGTGAGAGTATGTATCTTTGTGGCTTTGTATGTTCAGATGTTTGTTGCAAGAGCCAAGGTTGAAGGTACTATGAGTTGATGCTTAGGAACCTATGAGATCTTGGCATCTATTAAACATGCCATTGCTAAAAGTCGAACAAGAGCACTTTGAGACCGCCATCTTGATTCTTCACAATTTTTTCGTCTTTTATTATGGCTACAGGTGTTTAGAAGCATTACATTAAATATCTTCATGATTCAAATGCCGTGTACAGTGATGCAGCTGTTTAAGGGTTCATATTTTATTCTGGATGCTGCTTCAAGACATTTCTGACCAAATTCGGCTATTGTGAATGGTACAATGCACATATTTATGAGTTCTGTTTCGCCTGCTTCAAGGTAGAGTATAAAAGATCATATATTTTCAAAGCTCTTCCAATAAAACAATAATATTGATATAGATATGGACTTTAATTCGAAAGTATGCGGCTTATAAATTGTGGTTTTAGATGTTCGAAAGGCAGTTAATTTTGTGGGAAGTAAGTACCGAGTATTGTTAATTCTGTAAACTAGCTTTATTCTCTCGCTTACAAAGTTCAGCAAACCTTTTTTGTTACGGCAATTAAAACATGAATAAGAGAACAACATGATACATCCTTCCTGCTTACTAAGTGTTATAGTTATTGAAACATATTTTATTTAGTAAAGATGCGTAACTTAAGGCTGGTTTCCACATGATCGCAACGATTGCTGAGAAAAAAAGTTCAGCAATCACAGCGATCATAGCGATCATATGGAAACCAGCCTTGAGTTACGCAACTTTACTAAACAAAATATGATCGTAGTGATCGCAGCAACAACGATCGCTGAGATAGAATTTTTTCAGCGATCATTGTTGCTGCGATTGCTGGAAAGTGGTTTCCATATGATCGCTGCGATCACTGAACTTTTTTTTCTCAGTGATTGCAGCGATCACAGCGATCATATGGAAACCAGGCTTTAAGTAGAAACAGTTGCGTTAGGGAATATTGTTTTATTGAGTGCAATAACATGATATGAGTAGAAAGATATTTCGGCAGTTTCAATTGATTATTTTCTTGGAAGTTAATAAATGGTAGGCTATCAAGCTTTGATGTTTCATGAAGCATAATTTAATTGCAGATGTTGTAAAGCCGAGGTGACTTCTTAAAATCGTTTGAGAAAACTTTCTAGTAAACAATTTGCGTTTTGTTACGTACGAATTGTAAAAGGGCTAAAGTCCAACATCTTCACAAACAAATTGTGTGCATGAGTTATTTTTATAGTTCTGTTAACTCGGTAACTGTATGATAACTTGAATTCCCTCACGTACAAACCACGAAAGGGGCAAAGTCTGACACTTTCACGTGCAAACTGTTTTATTCTACATCTCATGCTGGCTTTTCACAGTAATAAACAATTATTGGATGAGGTTTTTGTGATATCCAAAATAATCAAGGTCAAGGTGGAGGTAGGGGTTATCAGCCTCAGCCTTCGGCTTTGGCTGATAACCCTTACTGAGACCTTGATTATTCTGGATATCACAAAAATCTAATAAGTGTTTTATTATACATTGAACGAATTCTTTCTTTCTTTCTTGCTTTGACATAAAATGTCAAATAAAATGTCATTTCCTCAGGTTCATTCAGTGTTTTCTCTTTCACGTAATCAGTGAACAGCTCCTTGCCACCTTCATCGACCATTTTGTGTTTCGTGTGTCCTTGTCTTCAATTATTTTTCGATGACCAAGGAAGCAAACGATGGTCAAAGAAGCAAACCTGGAAGTCATGTTTTTGCTTCTTCACTGACGGCAAGCAACACAAAACGCGCAAACTTGACATGATCACCCTTAGAAATCATGCACTGCGGTCATACATGACATGATTAGCCGTGACCTTGAGTGTCCTTGACATGATTATTGTATAATCTGCAGTTAGATGACGTCCCAGGCGCTGATTTCGAAAATTCACTGTATGCTTTTGGCCAATCAGTAAAGAGATAGTGAGTTCAATGTATAATAATAATAGTAACTTAAACGTATGAAGACATCTTTAGTTTTGTAACTAGTGCCTAAGCAAAGGCTCTTTTCTTTTAAGAAGGAAAAACTCATAACACTCTTAGAATTAAGTGGTCAGAGTTAAAGACTGTTTCATTAAAGTAGAATTGAACGCGATAACCTCGTGAATAATGATGGAACCATCCACAACAACGATGAAAATCTTAGCTATTCAGTATTCGACGACCTTCATTATTTTAAGAAACCATTAAGAAATCTTGAAACGTTCGAGTCTTCCCTCTAAGCACGTTTGGTGAGTTGGTATTCATAGTACTTTAACAATTTGTTTACTTTTCGCCAGATGTTTGAAGGAAAGACAAAGAAAACTGAATTTATTAGATCGAATCAGCTATGCGCTGTGGTTGTGGTTTTCATTAATGTACAGCAATACCCAATTTCGCACAAAACCTAGCCTTAATTTAGGATTAAGACAGAAGATTGCCGATAACGTCACACTGAAGCGTTCAAAATAGCTCATGCACATAAAACGTGACTATGTTTTTTGAGGCCATCATTAACGATACAAACAGACAAAACGTGGTTAAGTTTCAAATTATCTCTTGACTACATGTTATATGAGGTTAAATGACTTGCAGCAGCACTAAATTTGGTTAAATGTAATTTAACTAAGTTAACCACCACAAGCTTAGTGGGTATCCAGCAGTCAATTCCATAAGTGCGGGCTCACATGGTACGTGGTAACTTTGTGCACTGCTAGGATCTGTGAGTTCTTCGTTGAGCATTTGTGCTGTGGTCTATGGAGTGGTTCATTCAGCGTCCCCCCTCCCATCCCTCATTTTTTTCCTTCCACTGTTTCATCGGTGTGACAGGTGCCTGGAATGGGGGCTAACAACAGGGATTTGCCAGCTGTGGGGGCAGTATTCTATCTAGGGGCTGGCTGGCTACAGTGAGTGGAAGCCCCTGGGTATGCCAGGCACCCACCTTCCACTTAAATGAGGCAGTTGGTTAACTACCAAGATTGTTAATCCGTACTGCTAAGACATTTCAGCATGAATAATGATTCCAACAACCTTCAGTGAGGATAGAGAAAGGTCATTAAGAGCCGTGGAGTTAATAAACAGTTTTGTCAATGATTGTAGGTTGATTCACAATTTCCTTTGTTTCCTAGCCTTAATTGATGAATAATTAAGGCTAGGAGACAAAGGAAATTGAGAATCAACCTAGGTTAAAGAAATTTAATTTGAAATCAAATTTAACCTGTAACAAATACGTATCAAGTTCTCGGAACTGGAACAAGCAGCGCGAGGAAGTACAAAAGAAGGCAATCGTGTCCTTACTGTCTTACAATGCAACATTAATTCATTCTGCTCCACCCAAAGTTAAAGAATGTGCTTATCAGACCTTCAAGCACCCCATCACAGAGTATGCTGGTCCAGCTTGGAACCCTCATACCTCAAAGGGAGTTGAGACAGTTGAATCAGATCAAAGGTGAGCAGCAAGATTTGTGTGCAACAACTATCAGAGATCCAAAAGTGTCTTAAGTATCAAAGTTAACTGGTCGTCACTGAAAGAATGAAGAACGCTAATTGATCTTTCACTTTTTTAAATGTTCCAGTATAACTGCGCACAAAAAGAGGAGCCCACAATCCTAATCTCCAGGTTGTTATTACACATGCGTCACATGTATGTAGCCAGCATTTGTTTGGACTTTCACTAAAATGAATGGAATGCACAGAACACACTTTGATCACGTGCATTAGGACCTTCTGTCACTCACAATCTGGTCACACATGTTTTGACCATCTGTCACATGAAACTTAAGCAAAGTGTGTAGTGTTGGAGCAAAAGCATTTTGACATTTGATCGTTGTCGCCTGCACTCCATAACCTTTGGTTATTACTAGTTTAGTTGTTTTGCCCTTTCCTTTCCCTTTTCTTAACACCTTATGTACAGTATGACATATACAACCTTTAACTTGCTTTTGTTGATGCATACAAGTACTCTTTTTTTGGGCAATGTATTCTTGTGTGGAACAGTCTTCCATCTATTGCTGTTATGGCTTCGTCTTTGCCCGTGTTCAAGTCTACAATCAAAACCTATCTTTCATAGCTACAGCCTAATTGTGCCACCCATTGCAATGATCAGCATATACTATTGGCAATATCAATGAACTGTTTAAAAGATAAAGTCAACTTTTTGCACTACTTCATACTAAATACTAAGTAAAGCAGCTATAATGCACAACATGGCAAAGAAAAACAATGGCAACTTTATACCCTCAGTCTCTGTGTAAAAAAAATTTAACTATTTTCTCATGGTGTTAAAATGTGGCTTAGCAGCGAGTTGGCCAGCGGTCTTCTCCCACTTCAGTATGTGACCTATGAGGCGGCCCACGGGGAATTGCAGGGCTCCTTGTGTGCTCTTTTGCTAGTGTTGCTTTGCATTGTAGCTTTGCTTGCTGATCATAGTGGATCAATAATATTTCTGCCTTCTTACGAATCATTACACATTCTTGCTGATCATAGCGGATCAAAAAGCTGCTTCTAGCTAGTTAGTTCACAGATCTCAAGGGTAATGATTTCTTCTCCTAAGCAATGTTCTAGATCAGTCATTAATAAAACTACAAATAGCGAATTGCCAATTACCTGATTATAATTATGAGCTTCTGCGCTACAATGTCAAAAACAAGGGTCATAAAATAATATTATCAATAGACTCAATTATGCATTTTTTGAACTATTTTTGTAATCATTCTCACCATTGGACGCCCTTGGGGAATTGCAGGGCTCCTTGTGCACTCTTTTGCTAGTGTTGTGCTATATTGTAGCTTTGCTTGCTGATCGTAGCGGATCAATTTTTGCCTTCTTGCGAATTATTGCGGATTCTTGTTCCCTCTCCTCCCTCCCTGCCTGGTGGTTTTGTAAGTATTTTCTCAGGCAAGTATTCTCTTAGGTAAGTATCTCCACTGAATTTATTCAGTGTGACTGTGCTGGTTAGTGGCCAATCTTGCGGTGGTTCCTGCTTCCAGGGTTGCCATGGATACCTCCTCTCTGTCTATTGCGTTTGGCTCCCCACTAACCTTTAAGGTACCTGCTCCCAAGCTCATCATAAGCGCTTAGAACGCATGCAGATAAGCGCTATATAAGTATTATTATTATTATTATTATTATTATTATTATTAGCGATGAGTTTAATATGTTGTGGTTCAATTTTATCCTTGGTTTAAATTTTTTTCCTCTTTGTTTTTAGGTATGGTAATGGATGATAATGAGTTTGAAACAAAGGAAAATGACATTTGTACCAAGGATAAAATTGAACCACAACCAATACATGGGAACATTATGTCAAAACAACCTCGATCGGACCAGATTTGTATCCAGTTATGTGGTCCTTGGCCTGGACAAAAAAGACGTAAATGAGTTTTCTTATCTTAGAAGGAGAGTACTGGGCTGAAATTTGTCCTGCAAGTTGCCGTAACATTTGCCGTTTGTCACTTTCTTGGTTTATACAGCTGTGCATTAAACCAGTTTAACAAATTAGTGTACCTTTTTGTGAGAAAGGTCACATATCTTATTTGTCCTTTGGTACTGAAATTGCAGGGAAACACAAATGAATTGGTTACTGCAACCATGTAAATTGATTATTTACCAGCAACCACAAAACATGCTAAGCTATTGTCGCGTTAGGATTCACTGTTTTTGCCCACTGAGAGCACAGGAGTTTATGAAAGTTATCGTACCTGATAAAAATAACTGGAGAAAGCGTAATTTTATTCCCACTAAGTCTATTCAATAGAGCTTTAAATATATAAAATGATATAAAAAATCAACTCTATTTTTCTGTAGAGTTCCAAGAATTGCTTCAAATAATCTGAGAAATGTATTGCCTGTATTCAAGGGGAATTACTCGCTTCCAAACTCTTGCCTTTGCAAAAAAACATGGCTTTCCACATGAATGTTTCTGAATTGATTAAGTGTATACACGAAAATCAAGGGCCTTGATGTGAGGGAAACTACATCATTGCCAAAGTGCCAAAGACATGATCAACATGCTGTGCATCATTTTAATCATTGCTGAAAATTAACTGCATGCTAATCACATGACCATTTGCATACAACAAAAGATTTTTTAACACCCAACCAACTTAGAGTGCTCACTATAAAAGTGGAACAAAACAACAACAGCAATATATTAGTGCTCATTGCAACTGGATGATAACTACATGAATACATTTGAAGCACGACTTTCATAAGACAGGCAGTCACTAAAATGTTATGTCAAACTCGGACAGCTTATTTGAGTAAAGAATAAAAACAAGGATTACAGGAGTTTCATGTACAATACTATTTTTTCCATATGTTAATACATAAACAAAATGTCAGATTTCAATTCCAGAAGGACATCTGTAGTAAACTTGCAAAACAAGTTATACACAGTTTGCCGCATTTTTCAAAACTTCCTTTGCAAAACCTTTTTTGTTGCAACTGTAGCCTCAATTTGTAATTGGCAACTCTAGGTTTCTGTTGTTTGAAAATATAGTATGAATGCATTTCATGACAAAATGATTGTAATATTTTGTGTTTGTTTACTCCAACTTGTGAAACTTCTGTAACTAGTTTGAACCTTGGCACTTCATGGGTTGTGTAAAAATCAAGGTGCTCTTTGGCTGCCTAAAACACTTTGGCACTAATATAATATCCTCCTTTCTCCTCCATGAATCTTTTAATAAACTTTAAACATAGATGTTAGCATCTTAATTCAGCCTCAGTCTACTTTTTCCATTTGAATCATCAGGGTGTCCCGTCACCCCTGGCAACCAGAAATCTTAGTTTTTACATAAAAACATGTGCTGTGAACTGGTAAGGTCAGAATGTTTGGCTCCCTATACACTTCTCTTTGAGTACAGCCTTAATTTCAACATTTTATATGCTTCAAACTTTATGCTCCTGCTGCTGCAGTCATTATGCTTTCACAAACTTCAATGCAGGATAATAAATTCGCTTCAGTGTAAACAAGGATAGGGACTGATAAGAGACTTTTACATGTAGATCGAAATTTATGAAAGAGTACAGTGGTAGATGCATTGGCCGGCCAGAAAGTATTTGAAATTTTCATAGAATTCACAAACAATAAATGCATTTCACTTACATAAGCCTCCAACGCAGCATCTAAACAAATAAGGTTTTCTTGGCAGTGTAAATGGTAAAACATATGTAATCAAACCCCACCACCCTAGTTTTATTCACTTACACAATTTTTTATAGACAAAAAAATAGTGCTAAATATATTTCATTGGTTGAAACAACTTAGGAAACTTAACCAGTGATCGCGAAACGTGGTAATCTATTAAAATGGAGGTTACATTGGTGCGATATAATGTATAAGCCTAAATAGCACAAGTACCGGTAACACTAACACATGACCACGAATATGGTCGGTGAAAAGCGTGTTTTCGTTTATCGTTTCTCTCAGTTTAGAAGGCAGAAAAATCAGAAAACAACTCCAAAGGAAAGAATGCCATTGAACTCACACCCAAACATGGCACTTAAAACGCGAAACGTTCCGTTTTATGTCGTGTAATCATTTGTTCCGCGAAAAACAGAACAGCAAGAAACACACGTGTAACTGTTCACTCTTTAAAAAATCAACTATTTCCGGCGATATTTTCCCCTGAGATTCTTTCGCTGAATGTTAAATCCAATTCGCCGGTATGACTTAGCTTATTACAATAAACAAAACACGCATGACAAAATGTGCGTGCGTATCGTCATGAAAACGGAACACATGCACTTCACAAAATATTCTTAAATATCATTATGACATGACTTACCAGTGTTTTTAACCTTTCAAAGTTTGAGGGAAATGCTGCTGTATCTCCAGCCACAAACGTTGCCAGCGCTTGTCTTCCAATTCTTTGGATAAGCGGAGCCATTTTTGTCGCCACTCATAAATTTTCCTGCTTCAACAACCTTCCACCACACCTAGTACTCAGATCGCTCACGGTCGGCCATCCTTCTACGACCGCATTTTTTTGGGTCAGCAGTAGAAATTTTAAGAGTATACACTATATGATTGTTACACCACGTACCTACCGTGCTAAGGACAAAATTGGCGCGAGAATCTCACTGCTCGGTCTGTTTTCTTGTATTTTTCACGATTTTGTATTCGAAAGAGGCGATGTTGACTGGAGGAGCAGTACAGGTATATTTCTTCTTTCAATTTTTGACTTTTTCCTCATTTTCCCGTCGTTTCATGTCGAAGCTTCTTAATACTGTCAAGTTTTCCCGCGAAAAATTCGGTCTTCGGATATAATAAACACTGTATGAAAGAATTTAAGGTCAGAATTAACTCATAATGCTTCTACTTTGATGTTGTTTTTACAGGATATCTTAATCCGGCCCTCTGAAGAACATCCTCAAGGGCCAGTTTTTCAAATCTTGGTAAGTTCTTCATAATAGGTTCCGCTCAACCGTCTAGATCAGACAATCCTCTGCAAAATAAATCAGCGAACAAATGTGCACGAGGAACTTTGGCAGTCGAAAAATGTTTGAAAATAAACACAAATATATCGGCTTGAGGCTGGAATTCACCAGTGATGGAATAAGTGTTAGACTCTTAACGTTAATCCGAACTGCAGTGCGTAATGATTTACTGACAACAGTGCTCTGACCCCATTTATGACTCTGCTGCCGTAACCTATGGGGGAAGCCAGGCTGTTGCAGCTGTAAGCAGAAGTGGAAGAATTAAGCCAATCACAGCACTAGCCTGTGAATACAGCCTTCTAAATTTCTTGCTCCTTGCTGCTAGACATGTTTTGTGGAAGAGATGTCTGTGATTTGCCCTGGCGGCAAGGAGCTAGTAGAGACTGCTTTATTCACACCTATTATAGCACATGGGAACAAACACTATTGTTGTTTTTTTATTCTTTCGATCCTGTTTCTGAGCCCGTATTCGGTCGAATTCCCAAAGAAGGTCACATTACTGATTTACAGCAAAGCAGAAAGTACAGTACGACCTGCAATGTTGCGTTACTATACAACTCAGTTGGTTATTGACTTTGTTTCATTTCATTACAACATGATATTTAATTTATTGCGGCGTTCTTTCTCTTAGAAGGGTTTAGTGCAAAGCAGCAAAAAATGCCAAGGAAAAAAGGAATCATGGCAGTGTTGTAGAGCATTAAGCAACAACTGTATGTAACATAAAATGACCGGTCAAGTCCGCAATCAGGCCAGACATTGTCCGTTGACCAGCCGTTATTTTCAGCCCTGGCTGTTGAACAGGTATTCAAACTTCAGGAAATGAAATAGACTTGCAAAAAAATTTATTTGGTTTAAAAAAGAACAAAATCTGCAAACGTTTGTTTTGTGTCCCATATCTGCATTGATGTTTAGAAATGAACGTCGGTGAAATTTGATTTATTTCGTTGCCTAGCACATGATCGAAAGTCTCCTCCAAAAAAGAAGAAACTGATCTTTAATATTTTTGGGAAAAGTTGATTCGATGTTCGACAAACAGTTTTACTTCATCAGTACTTTATTAGAAGTCAGTAAAATACAGCAAAGCTTTTATTTGTATTGGCATGCAACGCTTTATTGAGATGGGCTCAAATGTCAACAGAAATTTGCATTAAGTTCTTTACAAGAAGCTTGAGAAATATGCGCCGAGATAGATGACGTTATAAAGCTTAACTTTAACTTATCAGACTAATCTGCAATCAAGTCCGTAATTGAGATCCATGTTTGACATAAAGAAATTATTATTAATTGCTGTGAAAATTTATTCCTGGAGAAACAAAGGACCTGTTGAGAATTGCGATCGATTTTCCCGAAGGTCAATAAGACCAGATAAGACTTCTATTGAATTTACCAGTGGTGATTTTCACAATGCTGTTACAAATAAAGGTCAAATGTTAGATGGAGCAATGGTTAGCTGTTTACAATCAACGGTTAGATTGTAAGAACAGTCCGTTAGAACAAATCGTTAGAATGTAATGGACAAACTATTAGAGCATGCAGGCAAACTGTTGGAGTGTTAGGGCAAACCATTAGCTATCTGTCAATTTTCTAATGGCTAAAGGATTACAGTTAGTGTTCGTTTTCCCAAATAAGGTCACATTTAAAGTGTCTTAGGTTTGGTGTTTCTTATTAAACATACATTTCAATTTGCATTCAATCAAATAAGTAGACAGCAAGAATTACTACAGCCTTTTATTTGTGACCAGTATTATTAGCATTATTTGCAGTAAATATCTGTAAAATGAATTGAAACCTGGAAAGCTAAGATCTCTTAAAACTTGTAAATTTTACTGAATTATGACACTTACCTCTGAAGGAAACAAGAAAGTAACTATGTTCACCAGTGTATATTACAGACAACTACATTTAAGATTATCATGTTGTTTCCTGTAGGGAATAAAAAAGATCCAGACAAAAAGCAATGAAGGATCAGGGAGTGACCGTTACAGGTAAATAAATAATAATTGCTGCACTAGCTGTCTGTACATTTTTGTGTTAAATACTTTGTTTTATATACAGTTTTATAAAATGTCCCTCCTCCAAAAAAGGTTCTCTTTTTATTTTCTGAAGCGGGAAGACTAAGAAAAAAAGCTTTAAATGAGGCAAATGGCAAAGGGTTTTCAACATTGTCCAGATAAAGTATTATAATGTTGTGACAACTTTCTGCAGACGAGAGGATTTGTTAAGATTATTTGACTGTATAGAAACACAACCGCTGTGAGTGATCTCCCAAGAGGAAAGTCAAAGAAATGAAAGATATCAGGTAGAGCAGAGAAAACAGGGTTAATGATATTACTGCTCACCCACTCGTCAGTGTGAGTGAGACCTGTTGGGCAGATGGAAATATTTGTAGATTACTCCCCATGGTTTTGTGAGGGAAATTTTCATCTTCAGGAAAGCTGTAACTGCTTTTCCTGATCTCTTTTGTTTCTTTGAATTTCTCACTGGTAGATTGCTCACAGCTCTTATAAAACCTTGCTAGGGACAATGATGACTCAATATCATTTCACTCCATTTCAGCCAAATTGGAAATACGTTCAGCATTCCCAGAAAATTCTTGAAAGACATCACTCATGAGAGAACATGATGAGAGAACCTTCTTTGGCCATATCTGTAACTTAGCTCTAAGATTAATGGCAAGTTTACGTGTGTTTATCATGCAGGCTTGTGCTTTCAGATGGGATTCATCTTCATACCTGTAAGTATTTTGTTATTAGCTTCCGTTTTTGATGGGGGCTTAATACTTCATAGGATCGTTCAGATCATAATTAAGCCAAGTATTGCAACTGAAAGTTATGCTTTTGTATTATTTCACACAGCGGCTATGCTTGCAACGCAGCTCAATCATCTGGTCCTCTCCAAGGAAATTGAAGTCAAAGCTGTCATTAGACTGGACAAGTATATCTGTAATATTATCCAAGAAACAAGGTATTAATCTTAGCTGTTGTGTCATCAGTAACCTTCATAGGTCCATAATTAACAACCCTCTACCAGGAATACTCAATTTAGCACCCTTCTGAAATGAGTTCTTACCTTGTAATGAGTACCCTCCTTCAGGCTAAAGATGTTAAAGAAGTCTCCCTTGCCAAGATGAATTTCTTCAAAAAAGAGCCTCTGTCCCAACCCTCCTTAAGGAATATACGATAACGAGTACAGAGATATCTCAATAAATTTAAACTGTATCACAACAAGTAAAATTACGAGGGAGGAGTTACACGTTTTGAGGACATCAAACAGTTGCATGTCAAAAATAGATCTTGGGACTCTGAGTAGAGTTATTTTTTTCTTAAAAGTTTTGACCTAGATGGTTAAGTATTGATGATCACTTAAAACAGAATGCTCTGGAGGTATTTCACATCTTGAGGGTGTAAATTGGGTTAAGTGTTTTATTTTTCTGTTTGTACCGGTAAGTCATTGCAGTACTATTTGTTCAATGCACTTGGCCCCATAACTAAATAACTGAAAAAGAATAAATCAAATAATAAGCATAAATAGCAGGATTAAGAATCCCAACTGACTTGAGATGATCCAGTGAGCTATTTACAAGTTTTCGAGAATTTGAACTCAGGACTACTGTAAAACAAATCCAGCTTATTGTTAGAGTGAGACTTGATCTGGGGACCTCAGACTGCAAGGTCAACACTCTTACAACTCAGCTTTGCCACCTTTTCTCGCCAACTGGAAAAAAGCAATTGTTTTGCACCTTCAGTACATGTTGATGCTGAAGCATGCCGAGCATCAAGAAATTAAGTTAAGAAATTGAAATTAGTACAAAATAAGCCATTGTTTGCAAACTCAATCTCATCTCAATTTGCCCTCTGTTCCCTTTGAATCAACTTCAAACTCAACTGAAGCTTGTAAGTCAGTAAACAGCCAATCTCTGACTTTCAAAATACTTAGTTATTCTCATGTTATTTTTCTTCCTTCACAGAAAGGTGCTTATTGTGATGGAATTAACTGTGCTTCAGCCTGCGAATGAAGTGATGGGTAAGATCGGTGATCCTAAGCCCTTTAATACAGATTCTGCACAACAGCAGCCTCAACAGAATGGCAGTGGGCCCCAGCATAACATCTCAGGTAGGTTTACAATAATTATTGTAATAACAACTCAGTTATGCCTGTTGGTTTGATGATGTCAGAAATGCTTTAATTCGTTATGTGCGGTGGGTTGCTTCCATGATATTGACTGAAAAAGATCCAAGTAATATTTCTGAGAATTAAAGCAATAACTTACTTGTAATAGGGATATTTTGCAGTGAAACATTTACTACAAACAGTTACCTTTCCTGGTTGTCAATACTTAATCCCAGCAGATACACATATTTAGTAAAATCCAGCTAGTGGTATATTATCAATGTGGCATTCTGATTGGTTGAGCTACTACTAGGCCATATGTTATAGCCCACTGGTAATGCTGGCAAAAAAGGATTAAAGTCTAGCTTTAACTAGCTGAAATTTTTTATTCTCGATATCTTTGACCAACTAGGTGGATTTTACTAAAACAGTTATTCCTCTCGCCTTCATGGCCTCTAAGTCAATAGCACATTCGGCCTTTGTCCTCATGGGCTATTGACTCAGAGCCTATTTGGGCTAAAGGAATAATTGTTAAATATTCACAT